AATACTAAACTAATTGCTTATGGTCAATCTCTTGGTGGGGCTGTTTCAATTGATTTAGTTTCAAGGAATGAAGATAAAGTAAATTTTTTTATTTTTCAAAAATATATGTATATATATATATATCATTTTCGTGGGAAAATTTTTTAAAAATATTATTCTTATATTTTAGTTCAGTGGAATGTACTTGGAAAATACATTTCTAAGTATAGTAAGTAAATTCAAACAATTTTTTATTTCAACTTTTACTTTATCAATCTTTATTAACCCAATTCAATCCACACACGCACATACACACACAAACGTACTTGTCTAGCCAAAGTTAATTCCACATGTTCTTCCACATTTGAAATATTTTACATTTTTATGCCATCAAATCTGGAATTCAGAACAAGCAATCACTCAAATAGTCAACACACCGATTTTATTTTTATCAGGAAAATTGGATGAATTAGTTCCATCAATACATATGAAGAAATTATATGAAATAAATTTAACTAGTAGAAGCGTAAAACAATTGAATAGTAATAACATTTCATATAAAGAATTTTCACATGGAACTCATAACGATACTTGCATACAACCATATTATTTTGATTGTATTTTGGAGTTTATAAAGGTTCAAATTTTAAATGAACATTAAATATATTTTATTTAATTTATTAGTTAAATGTATTCTATATATTTTTTTTTGCGTGATTTTTTTGTAAAATAAAAATTTAAAAATTTTTACTTGGTATAAAAAAATTTTTGCGACTTAATGAATTTATATCATGATCAATTCCCAAAATCGCCAAAGTATAAATTTGATCGATTCGCGTTGAAAAAAAAACAATATTTTTTGTTGATAGTTATTTTATAAAAAGATATGCAACTATTAAATATAAAATAAAGGTTTATTTTACGCGCGAAAAACATTCTTTTTTTAATTCATTTCTTTTTTATGGTTTATATAACCAATCTAGTTAGAGGTGGAAGATATGAAAATTGATATCCTAATTGGTTATTAGATTATGTGGTACAAGTATTTTTTCAAAATGACGTTTTCTTTGAAAATGGCCAAGTTGAGTGCAGGATTTCTTGAAGGAATGTCATGCCCATCACCTTTTGGATTCGGGATGAAGAATGACGCTCGTAGTGTGGAGTCTGCGCATTATTTGCATTACAAGTTCTTTCAACTATTTCAAAAATAAACAAGCAGCCAATCATTCTATATTAATATTCATTCTTTATTATTGCTGCGGAAACAAATTTCCAATATATACAATAATAATTAATTGGGCGATCTATCTATGTTTTCTTGAATTATAAAAATCATGTTTTCGACGACTTTTTATATGGTTTTTACAGTTGTGATAATCATAACTGTCTACATTCGACGTAAATTTGTTAAACCACCACCAGAGTTTAAAGATATACCGACTATATCGCCTATCCAATTAATAAAAACTTTGATATCAGGCCGACCTCATGATGAAGTACAAAAGGTTATGGAGGCTGCTCATAACCAATACGGAATTGTTAAAGTAATCAATCAATTAATCAATCGATCGATCGATTAGGTGAATTTTAGTAGCATTAAGTAAAAAATATTTTTTTGTAATCTAGATTTGGTATGTTGTGAGATGGGGAATTCATATTTCAAAATTGGAATATGTTAAAGAATTTTTAACTGAACCAAGTAATTTAATTATTTTACAAATTTCTATAATGCACAATGAATATTTTATTTGGAATAATAATTAATTCTTTTTGAAAATATAGTTGACAATGTGCCAAAAATTACTTATTCTCCTGATAGTGCAGTTTCAAAATTCTTAGGAGTTGGTTTATTTACTTCAAATGATGAAGTAAGTTTTTATTTATTTATTTAGCACACACACACACGCATATATATTGGTTATTCTACGAACATTAGCGTAATCATGATTATATCATCATCACCAAAAACCATAATATAGACATGGAAAGTACATCGCAACATATCCGCAAAAGCTTTTAACAAAGCACTTTCGCCAAAAATAATTGGAGAATGTGGAATTGATAGTGTTAAATTGATCGAGAAATGGGAGAATACACCAATGGATACGTTTCTATTGATGCAAAGAATTACTTTACAAGCGTTGGGTAAAGTGGCATTTGGATATGATTTTCAAGTAGGGAAAGATAATTAAATAACCATTTTAAATTGTTATTTGTTTTTGATCATACATTTTTATCATTTTTTATCATTTTAAAAACAGTGTTTAAAAAATTGGGAAGAACAACCGGAATTTATAGAAACTTACCATAGTATAATGAATCATGTTATGGCACCAAGAACCTTTTTCTTTCCATTTCTTGACAAATTACCATTAAATTCAAATATTAGATACAGTCAACTAGTTAAAGAATTCGATGAGTTTATTTATAATATGATTAAAGAAAAAAAAGAAATAATGGAAAAGAGAAAAAATTCAAATCAACAAGACAACGATAACGATGACGATGACGATAATGATTTGCTCACAGGAATGTTAAAAGCTGCAGAAAATGAAGATTATACATGGTCGGCAAGATCTTTAAGAGATGAAATAGTGATTTTATTTGTTGCTGGACACGATAGTATGCATATTGTATATAATTTAATCCATTAATTATTATTATTATGATAATATTACTAATAGATATATTTGTATATGTATAATTTAAATTAAGCCACTGCACATTCATTAAGCGTTGTTTTTTATTACCTGGGAAGATATTTGGTAAATTATAAATGTTTTGTATGTTTATAATTGTATTACATGTATTACATGTAATTATAATTTATTTGTTTCAATATTATAACCAGGATATTCAAGAAAAAGCTAGAGAAGAAGTGGTTAGAATAATTGGTAAAGATTTAGTAATTCCAACTTCAGATCAATTAAAGGTAACTATTATATGGATGTTTATATTTATTATGATTATTAATATAAATGAATTCCCACAAATAACAATACCGCACTTTAAGGAATTAAAATATGTAAACGCAATAATAAAAGAAGCATTAAGGTTATATCCCTCATTAACAACCGCGCCACCAAGAATAATTCAACGTGATTTTCAATTTGATAATTTTCTAATACCAAAGGGTACTTATCTGCAAGTGAATTACTGGCAAATCCATCACAATCCAGAAATTTATCCGCGACCATATGAATTTATACCAGAACGTTGGTTGGATAATCATCCAATGAGTTTGAATGCAAATCAGGAAAAACGACATGCATTTTCTTGGTTACCATTTTCTGCTGGTCCAAGAAATTGGTAACTAAACAATTTTTATTACTAGATTAATCAATTAATGCTCCAAACCTCCTCTTGATTAACCTTCAAAGAATTTTTAATTAAAAATAGTATTGGGCAAAACTTCTCTATAATGGAACAAAAAACTATAATCTCAATGTTAAGTAAGTATACAACAACAACAACATCATTATTGTTATTATTATTTAATAAATGTAAATATTTATTGATTATATATAATATTTTGAACAGTACATCAATTCAAAGTTAATCTACCACGAACTAGCCAGGAAAAGAGTTTTTAATATTAAGAATAAAAAGAAATTTGATTATATTTTTTATATTTTTTTTAATTTTACATAAATTTTTACAGAATTCCTTCTTTTTTATACCTATATCGAAGCCAACAACAGTTAACAGTTAAAGGTTGTGTCTAAAAATAAATTCGAAAAATCCGAAACACGCGAAAATTTATTATTTATTTAGGGATCGGCCGAACTTTATATAAAAGTTTCCATTTTTGTATATTCAATTTTGTCACATTACACGACCAATTAAATCGAACTTCCACCATGCTTATGCTATCCCATTCATCTGCTGTGACAAGGTTTGACTGTATCAAGAGATTTGTTATATGGAGAAGAATTTTATTATTAAACCTCAATCCATTAGTATCCACTAAATTAAGATACGCATACACTACATTGAAATTCATTGTATAATATAAAATTTAACAAAAAATCCAAGACCTCAAACAAGTCCTCCTCAATCTCGCCAAACAAAAACTCAAAGGCAAATGATATGAATGAAATGTACTCTGATGATAAAGATTCATGAGGAAATTTTGAATTTTTTTTTATTACTTCATTACAAATTTGATGTCAAAAAAAATTTGAGGTAACATGGTACAATTAAAGATGTTGATCAAAAATAAAAATATTATTAGCTTAACTCATCTATTTCATCTATCACATTGCCTGGAATCCTTCTATGTGACTTATATTTTTTTTACAATGTATTCAGCCTGTTATGGTACTGTTAATCCTTTTCTGTAACCATAAATCTTGAGACTCTCATCACATACTTTCTAATTTGTTTCAGTGATATAGAATCAAAAGCATTGGGGACATTCTCTTGAAGACCTATCCATGTGTAATTACAATATTGTCTAACATATCATTTAGCAGCTCCCAACACATTTCAATGTGGTTAGGCTCACAGTGAAACTTTGGATAGAAGATGACTTTATGTCCTCTTCAATTAATTCTTGAAGTAAAGGTTTTTGGTTTTTTAAAATCATCTTGGGTTGCTAATATATGTCTAGTACAACAAGTCAAAGGTCCTTCAAGAGAAACTTTAAACAAACAAATTTGAATGGTGATTACTTTATATTCATAAATTCAATGCAATTATTATTATCAAGATTTATTGGCTGAAGAAATTTGAAAATCATCAGCAAAAAAATCTTCAATAATGAAATTAATGTGGCCTCTCATATATACAATATTGGACCCCAATTATTTACACCAAAGTTTAAAGAATTGTTATCAAAATCATTAAATAAAATCTTGATCCATGTTGATTTTATTTTGTGCTTTAGAGCCATTTAATATTTTAAATGTTTTTTCTAACATTTAGGAGGCATCGTAAATCTTTATTAAATTTAATTCCTTGTGAACATAAATCTTTCCTATTAATTTTAAAATATTGACTAGTTCTTGAGTTCTATACTTTTAATGGTCATAAAAACTTATAGAGGTTTCGCATCATATTAGAATGCCTCTACTCTCCAAATTCAAATAGATAATTGAACCAATAATTTGGGGATGAAATTTAGCCAATGATATATATATATATATATATATATATATATATATATAAGATATTTTAGTCTATTTTTGTAAATATTAAATTTAAATTTTTTGGTGATAATAAATTTGAAGTATTAATAATTAATTTTTCTTTATGAGGGCTAGTTGGTGGTAGATTAACTTTGAATTGATGTACTGTTCAAAATATTATATATAATCAATAAATATTTACATTTATTAAATAATAATAACAATAATGATGTTGTTGTTGTTGTATACTTACTTAACATTGAGATTATAGTTTTTTGTTCCATTATAGAGAAGTTTTGCCCAATACTATTTTTAATTAAAAATTCTTTGAAGGTTAATCAAGAGGAGGTTTGGAGCATTAATTGATTAATCTAGTAATAAAAATTGTTTAGTTACCAATTTCTTGGACCAGCAGAAAATGGTAACCAAGAAAATGCATGTCGTTTTTCCTGATTTGCATTCAAACTCATTGGATGATTATCCAACCAACGTTCTGGTATAAATTCATATGGTCGCGGATAAATTTCTGGATTGTGATGGATTTGCCAGTAATTCACTTGCAGATAAGTACCCTTTGGTATTAGAAAATTATCAAATTGAAAATCACGTTGAATTATTCTTGGTGGCGCGGTTGTTAATGAGGGATATAACCTTAATGCTTCTTTTATTATTGCGTTTACATATTTTAATTCCTTAAAGTGCGGTATTGTTATTTGTGGGAATTCATTTATATTAATAATCATAATAAATATAAACATCCATATAATAGTTACCTTTAATTGATCTGAAGTTGGAATTACTAAATCTTTACCAATTATTCTAACCACTTCTTCTCTAGCTTTTTCTTGAATATCCTGGTTATAATATTGAAACAAATAAATTATAATTACATGTAATACATGTAATACAATTATAAACATACAAAACATTTATAATTTACCAAATATCTTCCCAGGTAATAAAAAACAACGCTTAATGAATGTGCAGTGGCTTAATTTAAATTATACATATACAAATATATCTATTAGTAATATTATCATAATAATAATAATTAATGGATTAAATTATATACAATATGCATACTATCGTGTCCAGCAACAAATAAAATCACTATTTCATCTCTTAAAGATCTTGCCGACCATGTATAATCTTCATTTTCTGCAGCTTTTAACATTCCTGTGAGCAAATCATTATCGTCATCGTCATCGTTATCGTTGTCTTGTTGATTTGAATTTTTTCTCTTTTCCATTATTTCTTTTTTTTCTTTAATCATATTATAAATAAACTCATCGAATTCTTTAACTAGTTGACTGTATCTAATATTTGAATTTAATGGTAATTTGTCAAGAAATGGAAAGAAAAAGGTTCTTGGTGCCATAACATGATTCATTATACTATGGTAAGTTTCTATAAATTCCGGTTGTTCTTCCCAATTTTTTAAACACTGTTTTTAAAATGATAAAAAATGATAAAAATGTATGATCAAAAACAAATAACAATTTAAAATGGTTATTTAATTATCTTTCCCTACTTGAAAATCATATCCAAATGCCACTTTACCCAACGCTTGTAAAGTAATTCTTTGCATCAATAGAAACGTATCCATTGGTGTATTCTCCCATTTCTCGATCAATTTAACACTATCAATTCCACATTCTCCAATTATTTTTGGCGAAAGTGCTTTGTTAAAAGCTTTTGCGGATATGTTGCGATGTACTTTCCATGTCTATATTATGGTTTTTGGTGATGATGATATAATCATGATTACGCTAATGTTCGTAGAATAACCAATATATATGCGTGTGTGTGTGTGCTAAATAAATAAATAAAAACTTACTTCATCATTTGAAGTAAATAAACCAACTCCTAAGAATTTTGAAACTGCACTATCAGGAGAATAAGTAATTTTTGGCACATTGTCAACTATATTTTCAAAAAGAATTAATTATTATTCCAAATAAAATATTCATTGTGCATTATAGAAATTTGTAAAATAATTAAATTACTTGGTTCAGTTAAAAATTCTTTAACATATTCCAATTTTGAAATATGAATTCCCCATCTCACAACATACCAAATCTAGATTACAAAAAAATATTTTTTACTTAATGCTACTAAAATTCACCTAATCGATCGATCGATTGATTAATTGATTGATTACTTTAACAATTCCGTATTGGTTATGAGCAGCCTCCATAACCTTTTGTACTTCATCATGAGGTCGGCCTGATATCAAAGTTTTTATTAATTGGATAGGCGATATAGTCGGTATATCTTTAAACTCTGGTGGTGGTTTAACAAATTTACGTCGAATGTAGACAGTTATGATTATCACAACTGTAAAAACCATATAAAAAGTCGTCGAAAACATGATTTTTATAATTCAAGAAAACATAGATAGATCGCCCAATTAATTATTATTGTATATATTGGAAATTTGTTTCCGCAGCAATAATAAAGAATGAATATTAATATAGAATGATTGGCTGCTTGTTTATTTTTGAAATAGTTGAAAGAACTTGTAATGCAAATAATGCGCAGACTCCACACTACGAGCGTCATTCTTCATCCCGAATCCAAAAGGTGATGGGCATGACATTCCTTCAAGAAATCCTGCACTCAACTTGGCCATTTTCAAAGAAAACGTCATTTTGAAAAAATACTTGTACCACATAATCTAATAACCAATTAGGATATCAATTTTCATATCTTCCACCTCTAACTAGATTGGTTATATAAACCATAAAAAAGAAATGAATTAAAAAAAGAATGTTTTTCGCGCGTAAAATAAACCTTTATTTTATATTTAATAGTTGCATATCTTTTTATAAAATAACTATCAACAAAAAATATTGTTTTTTTTTCAACGCGAATCGATCAAATTTATACTTTGGCGATTTTGGGAATTGATCATGATATAAATTCATTAAGTCGCAAAAATTTTTTTATACCAAGTAAAAATTTTTAAATTTTTATTTTATTATTAATGTTTTAACGTTTTTTTATTATTTTTTGATTGTTTTTATAAAAAAAATCTTATATATTTTATTAGTTTTTTTTATTCTAAAAATTTCAATTAAAGATCAAAAAAAAAAAAAAAAGATCGAGTAGGGAAAAATATATATATTTGTTACAAATATACAAGAAAAAAAATTTATATATAAAGTAAACTATTTATAGTACAAAAGAATTTAATATTATATATATATATATATATATATATAAATATATATACGTTCTAATTTATATAAAAAAAAGGAAGGAAGAAAAATTGGGAAATTTTTAAAAAAATATAAGAAATTCATCCTTTCCAATTTTTTATTGTTTCCAAAAAAAAATGGCAAAGAATTTTTAGAAAATTCAGAAAAAATAAAAAAATATTATTCATAAGATTATTAATTGATTGATTAATTAATTAATTAATTAATTTCTCGAAGAAATTTTAAAAATGTAAAAAAATCTTAGCTTATATACCGGTATATAAAAAATACAAAAATTAATATACAATAATATATATTCTTTCTTCTTTGAAAAAGTAAAGAAGAAAAGAATAAAATTGGACGAGTGGAAGAAAATTTTAAAGAGAGGATCAAATATTTTTATAAAAAAATATTAAAAAAAAAAAAGTTGAAATAAATATGAATAAATATACTGCAGTTATATTTATTCATATTATACATATATATTATATATAAAAAATATCCTCTCAAAAAATTAAAATCTTAAAATATAAAAATTTTTTTTTCATAAGTGTAAATTCCACTCGTCCGCTTATTTTGATTATTTTTTTTTTAAAAAAAAATAAAATAAATATATATATAAACATATTTACAAATATGACCAGCAATTGTGGTTATATTTTTTTTTTTTTGATTTAAAAAAGCTTAATAATTTCTTTTTTTCTTAGAAAGAAAAAAAAAAAAAATTTAAAATCGCGAAAAAAAAAAAAAGATTCCACGATAAAATTGATTTTTTTTTTGCTTATTGTAGTAATAATATATAATATGTTGGTTGATAACCAATTATATTATATTATAATTAAAATTCATAATTGACTATTCAAAAAAAAAAAGAAAAAAAGAAAAAAAGAAAATCTAAAGAAAATATAAAGAAGGAAAGGTGAAATAATTAAAAAAAAATTTTAAAATAAAAAAAACCAATTTCACACAACAAGATTCAAAAAGAAAAAAAAAAAATATTATAATATACATAAAAACAAAAAAATGTTTTTTTTTAATCAAGAAAAAAAAAATAAAAAAATTAATATATATATTTTATATATATAGACTGTTCATGAATTAATATTATTTGATTATTATTATTGTTACATTTTGTGTGAACCTCCTCCAATAACCTGTACTGGAGAAATGGATGCAACGGTATTGTTAACTTGAAGGCCACAACATCCACCAATATTTAATGTAGTGGTTGGTTCTCCTGAATAAGTGAAACCAACAAAGGTGTCATTTAATTCACTGGCTATAGAAGCATTTGTACCATTTCTACTTATGTTCTTGGTTAGAGATGGCCAATAATCAATTTGTTCTTCTGTGAATGCAGGATCAAAGCATGAAGTATCATCTTCTGAGGTGACATTTGGTTTAAATGGTGGTGGTACTTGTTTATTATATAATGCATTCCAATCTACATTGGCGAAAAATGGATGACGTTTCAAGTCTTCTGCATCACCGTTTGATCCGAGTCTGTTGTGAGGATTACGTGCAAGGAGGCCTTTGATTAAACTTTTGGCATCATCACTGAAAAAACCTTTTGGAAATTTGAGTTTACCAAACAATATTCTACGATACATTAATTGGGTGTCATTGGTGTAGAAAGGACTGAAGCCGGCAATCATCTCATAGAACAATATTCCTAAGCTCCACCAGTCAACAGATTTACCATAACCGCATTCAGCTAATACTTCAGGAGCAAGATATTCTGATGTGCCACAAAATGTATTTGTTGTTTGTCCAGTAGCTAAATTTTCTTTACAAAGACCAAAATCACAAAGAGCTATATGACCAGTAGCATCAAGTAGTATATTTTCTGGTTTAAGATCTCTGCAAGAATAAAAATATAAATATTAATTATTTGTTTTTTTTTTTAAATATATATATATATATTATAGATGTGTATCAAAAATAAATATGTACCTATAGACGATGTTATATTTATGTAAATGTTCTAAAGCCAAAACAATTTCAGCAGCATAGAATTTAGCCCTTTCTTCACTGAGTCTTACTTCATTTTGTAAATGCCAAAACAATTCACCACCGTTCATGAAATCAGTGACCAAGTAGAGATGAGTACGAGTTTGGAAAGAAAATTTCAAACCAACCAAGAATGGACAAGATTCGGCTCTGATAAGAATATTTTTTTCAGCTAATGTGTGTTCAACTTCTCTACGCTCGATCAAATCTTGTTTGTGAAGAACTTTCATTGCATAAATACGATTTGTGTCTTTTTTACGAACTTGAAATACTTTTCCAAAGTTTCCTTTGCCAATCAATTTAAGAATTTCAAAAGATCCTGGTTTAAGATTTGATTTCTAAAAGATGATGATGGATAAGAATGAGTATACTTTGCGAAAAGAAAACTCGAATTATAATCATGATTATGATTATGATGTATATTTACCTCTGATTCATAAGTGATCTGAACATGCAATTCACCGGTAACTGATTCTTTACCTCTTGGAGATAATCTTTTTAAAAAATAAAATAATTAAATAATTAATATAATGATTTTTTTTATTTTTATATCATGCGACGACAATGATGATGATGATGCTTACTTGAACCAACCGTCAATTGGCTGATTTGGTTTTTTTGGAGGTTGAATTTTTAATGTTCCAAGGAAAACTTCAGTTTGAGCATTATCCAAATGATGAACACGTTCATAAACAGAAACTTGAAGTTCGCTATCAAGACGCGCGACATCAAAGGTAACTTTTTGTTTCCATATTGGACATCTAGCAGCACGAACCAAATCCAAGAAATCTACGGGTTTTCCACCACGTTGAATTGGAAGGTCACTATCTCTAATTGCTTCACGAGTTACAAATTGATCACGATCGAATTCAACCACGCAATAAGGTCTGGATTGAAAATTACTAACGTTGAGTTTACGACCTTCAACAATGTTTACATTAAGTCTACCAGTCAAAGATTTTTGTTCGACGTTGTCAAAAGCAGTTGAGAGTTTAGCTGAATTGTTGTGTTTTGATGATTTTGATGATTTTTTGTTTGAAGTAGGGGTAGAATTGTTGGCGGGGAGTTCGAAAAGTTGTTTTTTGGCATTGATTGAATCTGTGGAAGAATTGGAAGAATCAGAATCGGGTGAACAAGACAAAGGTGTCAAGTACATTTTTTGTTTAGGATTACTCCAATCAGCAATTTTTTTGGTAAAGTAAGACATATTTTTTGATCTTTTTAAACTGGTGAAAGTTTTTCGATAACAATAATATTAATGGATTTTTACTTTTTCTAAATAAAATTAATTATATTCTTCGTTAAAAAAAATTAGATTTTCGTTATAATTTTTGTTGTTGTTTTTTTCGTTATTAAATAATTGATTTTTGACTTTTTTTAAAAATTTTGTTTTTAAAGAAAAATTAATTAAATATTTAAACAAGTGTAAGAGTATATATATATAATATATATATAATAATTTTTTTTTTGTTGAATCCTTGTTGGAGTGATTTGACAACGATTGAGAAAGTTGTCGTATTTAAAGTTTTTTTTTTTATTTATTTTTCGTTTTAATTTATATGAATTATTATAAAAAATAATTTATTATATATATGGCGTATAAATCTACAATATATTTTTTATAATATATATGTATATAAAATATATAAAATAAAAAAATATAAAGTAGTTTATAATTATAATTATATATATATATAGTTTTAAAGAAAATAAAATAAATAAATGTTTTTTGCTAAAGAGAAGGGATTTTTTTTTTATTGTTATAAAAAAAAAACCAAAATTTTGAATTAAAGGGCTTTTTTTATAATAAAAAAAACAAATAAATATTTAAAATAAAATGAAAATTTATATTTTAAAAAAATTTACCAATCAAATCTACAAAAAAAAAATGTAATATTGCTAACTTTATTTGGGTCTCCCCCACACATAATGCATTATTTTTCTTAAAAAAAAACTTTAAATTTTTATTATTTTAAATTACCATATAAAAAAATTTTAAATATAATATATAATATTAATATATATTAATATTTAATATTTAATATTAATTAAAGATTACTTTTTCACTTTTCTCATACATATAGAAAAAATAAGCATTACAAACAGTACAAGCAGTATATTACGTATTTAGTGTCTAAAATATTTTTTATACAAGAACCCTTGCATATCAAAAAAAAAAGGCTCTTTATATATATATATACATACTGATACGCCTTATTTATTTATTTACAAATCCATTGTTTAATTTTTAACATTATACACTAAACATATAAAAATTGCCACTTGTTCGTAATAATAATTCCGAGAAGATAAAATAAATTATGGGGAAATTCTTATTAATTGTTATTTATTTCTCCATCGTAATAATTGAAAAAAGGATGCAACGTTCGTTAATAACTGATTCTTTAATTATTCATATTTCAAAATCAAAAAAAAAATTTTTTTTAACTGCAAATAACTGACCGCTATTGTTAATTGTTTTATATTTGGCCTAACTTGTCATTCTTACCAAAAAAAAACAATCAGTGCAAAATGTACATTTTATTTATGCTCATTAACAAACTTTTTTTTATTTAATAATTATAAACGGAATATACAGCTTATTTGTTTACTCCAGATCCTAAATAAATGGTATAATATACATCATACTGTATATAAGTATATATATTTATATATATTAATTATCAACTGTATGTGTATGTATGCATGCTATTAAATAAAGATATAGATAATAAAAAGATTAATAATTTGATTGGATGAATTAAAAAAGAAACGTATATAATGGTTAATTGGTTAATTGATTATAAAAAAGTTAGTCAATTTAACCAAAAACAAACATAATAATGGATAAGTGTAAATTTAATCTATATAAATTATCAATCATCGATTATAAATAATTTAGGTAAGAATTACTAAGAAAAGCCTGAAGACATTCATAATATTTTCAGATGAAAGAATATATTATATATAACACGACATTAATTAGGAAATTTTTGAGTGATCTTTAATATGAAAGCACTCTCTTTGCAACAGGTTTATCTCTTGAATAGTTAGAAATGTCAAAAAAACCAAAAAAAATTTTTTAGTGGATTGATTACATGATATTATTGTTTATTGTTTATTGTTTATATAGAAGAATAATGTAGGAATCCAATATTGTCTAAATATAATAATTTTTTCCAAATATATTATATTAAGTACGAGAATCAAAATCAGAATATTATATAGACGGATTTAATGTTTTTTAATGTTTTGTGGAAATCACTTGGTTTGATTGACATTTATTCTAACATGTCCAACATTAAGAAGATATAATTGACATCTTATGACATAATACACAGTTTAATTTAGAAATTGGCCGGTTGGATGAATTATAAGAATAAGCATTATTTCATTATCGTAATCATCATCATTTAACAACAACTTTATTTTTTGAATTGATTTATAAAATTTAAGTGCGTGTCCTACAAACAATCAAAACAAAACAAACAAAAAAGCATGCATCAATAACAATAAATATTTATTATTTGTTTTTGACAAATGACTTCAACAAAATGCAAATACAAGAAAAAAAAAATGATCGAAGTGCCATAAAATACACATTATATATTGTTTAGCGAATAAACATTTTTCTCCCCATCAAAAATTTTAAATCATTCTTTACTAATTCCCACTCTCCTTAATATTTTTTATTATTGTTTTTCCCCATAATTTTATTATTTGTGTTTTTTTGCCATTTCTTTGCCACGCATATTATTTTTTCCCCTCTTTCTTTGATTCTATTCAATTCCAATTTCACTTCCAATTGAAAAATAACAATAATTGGGAGGAGAATGAGAAGAATTAACCATAATAATCAAAGTAATGATAATAACAACAATAAAATGAATAATAATAAAAATAACAATATCAAAATAACAATAATAAAGTGATAATAAGTAACAACAATAAAGTAAATAGGAAAATTATTTTTCTTTACTTGATAATTAGTTAGCTAATTTTTTCTTTTGACAACTCTCAATTCCTCTTAGCTAACGATCATCGGCCAATTCTCTCTCTCGTCATTGTTGTGCATTTTTATAATAATATTTGTACACAAATAAAGTCCCATGATTTACAATTGACAATTTTTTTTTTTACTCTTAATTAACATCATCTAATCTTGTTATCATATCTGCAAAAGATGTTTTTGATAACTTTAAACTCTCTAAAACAAACTTGACAATTTAACAATTATAGATAATTTATTTTTTTGGGCGATAATGTATCGGCCAAACATAAATATAAATAAAAGGAGAATACCGACAATAAGCAATATTATTATAAATGGGTTGAAACGCCAAATATACTAATATGGAAATTATCTAGCCTTTTGATTATTTGTAAATTATACATTTTATTTCTCGAGAAAATTTATTCTTTAAAATTCCCTTCTTTGACCTATTCTCCTTTACAACCTGTTACTCTCCTCTACTATTATATCATTGTTGTTGTTGTTATTATTATTATTCCTATTGTCAACTTTTTTATTTTTTTACCACAGTTGCCACCTTTTCGTCATTCCTTAAAATCGTTTTATTCTCAATTCTATATCTTTAGATTAGGTTAAATGAGATGACATCAGTATGCCAATTGTTAAAAATCGAATTAGTATATTAGGGAAATTTTTTTCGTATCTTTACACTTTAATGGTGGCACAATAATCGCTGCTGCAGGCAGTAGAACTACAATTGAACAATGGGGGCTCTAATAAATATGTATAATAATAATGGTTATCTGATTTAAACAAGTTTAAATCAAGTTTTTTATCATCCATTTTAACAATCATTTTTAAATTTGACAGCGATTACTTAAAATACCCTAGCTTAACAAATAATACATCACATTATTTTATTATAGTTATAATTATTACGATTATTATTAATTATGATTTTATCGGAAATATTCTTTAAGAATCCTATTTTGCCCAGTTCCAAATTTGTTCGCCCAACACACATACAATCTATTATTGATTGCATCATAATTAAGATTTGTTTACATTTTTTTAACCAATTATTATACAATAAATAGTTAGTTGAAATGTGTGGAGTTACTTTTTTTAATTTGATGGGAGAAATTTTTTTTAATTTAATTGACACATATACACACACACATTTATAATGTAATTGAACGTGAGATCATTTTTTGGAACATTGATTGGTTGATTGCCGACTTATTTAATAATATACTAATTAATAATAATTAATAAAAATTAATGGGTGATTTGAAGAATTGAGAAATTTAAAGTTGTTTTGTTTTTATTTTTGTTTTTAATCGTGGAAAAACCATTAAAAACATTAAATCAATGCTAACTAACAAATATATATAATAAGAATAAATGCTAGCCAATCATCCGTTATTCTAACAAATCATCTGTTATTCTAACCAATTATTATTCTAACCAATTAACAAATAAACGAGTCACCTGAGAGTTTTATTCAACCAGTTGGGCGCCAAAATTATTCAAGATTACCAACTTGTTTAAAAATTGAACACAAACGTCTTTTAAAAAAAACTCCGATGTTAATATTTGAAATTCCTCGCCCCGGATTTTTGTTTCTTTTTTTGAAATTAATAGTAATAATGTTGCGGATAAAATTGATACAATCATTAAGTAAGATGTGTTGTAAATTACGCAAAAAACAAACCCCTCCTCATTTAAAAATTGCATCTAAAAGTTTTTAATTGAAGCCAAATATCATCATTACCAACATCATTATAATAATCACCTATAGATCTGAAAAGTAAAGATTATCATCAACCAAGCTCACACACAACGAGTGTTACAATGTTTTTTTCCTATATTCCTATTTTCCTTGAATATTATTATACAAGAAAAAAAAATTATAAAACAATAATTATTAGAAAAAAAAAAAAATCAAATCATCAACAATATTATCTATAATAACTATAATAGCAATCAATAATGGCAATTATGGGGAAAAACTTGTAATATTCACAAATTTAAATTTTGTATAGGAAAGAAAAAAGAAATTTATCACCAAAAAAGCCAAATTAATGTAGTACAACAATTCAAATTTTAATGGTTTCAATTTAGGAATTATTCAAGAAATACCAAATTTTTCTAAATCAATCGAATCATAATAATTAAATCAAAATAACAAATCACTCATAGTGTATATTTAATACGCGTGATCCTTTAATATTTCGAAAGTTCTTGTATATTTAATATTTAATACTTAATAAAATCAACTGTAGATCACGCCAATAGCTACCAATATGAATATAATTCATTGTGAATATTTTATTAACTCGGCAGTATTTTAACAAAAAAAATAAAATAAAGAGGCCGAAAATGAAACATAATAATAATAATAATAATAATAATAATGATAATAATAAATGTACTACAGTAATCACAACGGTAATGATGATAAAGAACTTTTGATCAATTGGGTAATTAATTAATTAATATAAAGAAAAAAAATTCAGAAACAAGTTTTGTTTCTTGGTCTATTGATTTGGTTTCATTTTAAATTCTAACAAATCTTGTCTTTTTTTTCAATTAATTAATTATACCCAGCCAATCGAAGCGTAATATGTATTGTATGAAGTAATGCGGATAAATTGTGATTTTTGGAAAATAAAAGATACAAATTTTTTTTTAATTTGTATTTTTATATAATTACATTCTGTGTAAGTCACCTTATTTTTACAAACATGTCAAGAAGGCGTCCTATTACTTGCTGTTTTCCAAATTCTTTAAAAAAGCAAAATTAAATTCCTAAAAACGCGAAAGCTTTGCCCTTTGTTTTTAATAATAGCAATAAATATGTATGATTCATATATGTGCGACGTATATGTAGCATAACTTACCAATCTCGTTAAACTATTATTCGATTAATCTATAATCCTACATCATCCTACCTTTTTACATTATTCTAATTTTACATTTACATTATCCAAGATTCTTTACATTAATGTTATTGATGTTGCATTATTATTAAATCTAGAAAAAAACAATTTATTGTTTTTTTTTTTCTTACAAAGAACACAAAAAAAAAAAAAAAAGCGCGTAATAATAATAAATAATAATGACAGACAAAATTTTAATAATAATGCGGGGTTAGTATTATAATTATAATATTACAATTACACAATTACAATTACAATTACAATTACAATTACGACTATAATTGCAATTAAAACCACAATTACGATTACGACTACTACGATGAATATTACCAAGTAATAATAACAACAATGTTGATAATGTTATTGTTGTTTATTAGCGATTGGTATTGTGTCATTATTGTTAATTGTGTGGGGTTTGATACATTTGCGAGGGAAATACCGACGACTTGACAATTCATTTAATAAATGTTTTAAAGAGCTTTTCCTTATCTAATTATTTTCCTTTTCTTATTATTAACGAATTACATACATCTAATATTAACTTAACAATTCATGCATTCACTCAGTCAAACAATTAATTCGTGCATTACTAATAATCAAAAAGAATTAATTTAATTAAAAATTTAATAATCTAATAATCTAATAATCTAATAATCTAATAATCTAATAATTTAATAAATCTTTACAATAAGGAAACAGAACAAATTTAGTATTGATATTCTTAATTATATATTAGGAAATATAAATGTCCATCAACATATAAGTACTTCAAATTCTCCCCTCTTCCCCCCATTTCTCCCCTCTCCCCCTATTCCCATTCACCTATTTACACCCATTCTCCCTAATTTATTTTATTTCAATTAATAATAATAATTGTTCAATTGTTCAATTGTCCTTTAAAGATGAATTGAATTGAGTGAGGAGAAAGAAGGCGGTATCAACAACAGTTATAATAATAATATTCACCGTATTCAACTTGTTTACACGAGTTACCAAAAACTATATTGAAATAAAATCATATGATTTAAACCACAAGGCTTGCACCAACATCATAAAAAAGAAATAATTTGACCCGTTATAACTATCATCCGTGACCTATTTTTTTTTACTTATTTTATATAATAATTTAAACCCATAGATTTGATTGACTCTAACTAAATTAATATCCTATTGCTGCCGAACAAATAAAATTAATTTATATGTTAATATGATGATGATAATGACTCACCCGCGAAAGTAACCTACCTGGAGGAAAGATACCCGTACCTATTTATACAATTATACATACATATATATAACTTTGTAGTTGCAAAATCTTACGTTTATATCATATGGCAATGAAACTACATTCTTGTACAAAGATGCCTGGTCTCCCATTCTCATTAATTGCACATGTTTAAAAATATAAAAATATAAAAACATATATTAATATATACACATACATGCATACATGCTTAAAATTAAATGATCATCATTAAAAATTTTTACATTAAGCAATGCTGTGACTCCTTAAATAGTTATCTAAACCCCCGACCCTAACCCCCTACCCTAGATTGGCAGTTTTGGGTCACAGCATTGGTATGACAATTGGGTATGACAATTGGCTACAAACTATTCAACAGAACTCTTAAAATATCGATTTTGATTTTTTCTTGAGTAAAATAATAATTCCTATTAAGCAGGCTTTGGCTTGAGACAAGTTTCGACTTGATAAACCCATATCAAATCAAACCCTATCTAAACTATTCGCTGGTAAATTCTTATTCATTCTGATCCATCAAATTTGTTTTATTGCCAACCAATGTTACATGGAAAACATTATTATAATAACAATATCTTATTTTATTATAGTTTTGAAGATATTTATTGTTTTCAATATTAATTAATAATTTTAACCTATTTGTTGTTAAGCTTCACTTGTTAATTTTTCGATTAATAATAAAACAGGAGATCAAAAAGGATTGGAGGGTTCTAAAAAAAAAATATTATATATGTGTTGGGGGAAATTGAGCTTGTTGAAGACAAATCTGACAGGGAAAAATACACAATTAAAATATTTTGAAATGAGGAAGGGAAGAACCGGAAGAAGAGGAGAAAGATTTGAAGGCAAAGAAAGATAAATGGAAAGTATATGTTCAGGAATTAGGAGATGTATTAATCGAAATGATCAATGAAACAGGGAAGGAATGCACAAAATAAAGCATTACAAATATTCAAGAAAAAATTTTTTTAATTTTCATCTATTTCTCTATTTATCTCTATACTTGGTGTACTGCTTACTATTATAATTGATTTTATTATCTAGGTGCACTGAAAAAACCTTATATGGTATGTTGAGCAGATTTGTGAGATTCCAATCAAAATCTTACTAAAAATTCATCTGTTGTGATATAGAACTTGAAGCTATTGTTAACAAGACAAGTTATATGAACAGTTAATATGGAAAGTGTGACCACAGAGAACTTGAAGGTTAAAATAAGTGCAAATTACAACTTCACATTAGATGTAGACAACAAAAAATATTCTCGCAGAAGTGACTTTAAAATTTGTGAAATTCTACAATCCTCTATTGTAAACTATATATTCAAGTTCATTTATGCATATGAACCTTCTCAAAAGTATGCTAGCACTATGATCTCGCCGATCAAGATTTAAATATCAATATTGTTTTGAATGTCATTCACCTGATGCGTACAGTGAAATGTTTAAACAATTACAAGAATATTAATTAAACCGGAATCGCATTTCAAAACAATCTCTTAATTTAAATGAAGCTTCAAGGTCACACTATGTGTGTTCATACCTGACTGCTATGGAAAATTGTTTTGAGAGACAGTTTGATGTTCATATAATGAAACTTTCGATTTAATCATTGACAATTGACTAAAGGTAATTTCTTAGCAAGGGCCATTTTGACAAAAGTAAAAATCCTGATGGAGATAGAAACTACTTTTTATCATCACATTCAAACAAATTGCAACGTTTAATTTTAGCATTGAGGAAATCACGTGACACAAGACCGTAATTGTACTTTTTCAAACCAAGACTTTAGTCATGATTTTTATTTAGCAAACGTTTCTCACGTTAATCAAAAATTTTACATTAGTCAAGGTTTAGTCACTCGTGAGTAGCTTGCCCATAAACGCAAGACTGATGAGGTAGATTCTATGCAGTTCGAAGTAATTGATTCACAAAAGTGGTACTTTCTGGAATGTTCACTAGATGATAACAAGAATCCGAATTCAAAATGTCAGAACTAGCCAAATACGACAAAAAATTCTAGACTCGATGACCAGATGAATTAGGCAGTTGATTGGTGGGAAGTTTTTGTAGTGCATGATGCAAGTGTTGTTTAATTTTTGAAAAAATGTACGATAAAAAAAGAAGTGGGCTAATTGTTATTCTTTATATATTTGTTTATATTTTTAAAAAATGTACAAGTTTTTGGTATAGGCGTCTTTAGAGTGTGCTTTCTATCTTGGTAGTATGGTCTAACCCGATTGTTTGTTTTCCAGTTGCACCCGCTATTTCATTCCTTGCTCTTTTTTTTTTTTTTTACAAATTACGCTTACACTAACTCACCTACAAATTGCTCAAAAAATCCAACAGGTCAACAATCATCAACATCACTGCTTCACTTCATTACGAGATGATACACCTTTCTACTTTCTCAAATCCTGCTACACTTACTAGTATAAGACTTTGGTATACATTATACCATGTCATGTATAAAAACATCTTATAAAACAACCACTACAAGTAGACGCCATTTTTGTTATTATGTATAGAAAGAAAACTTTATGATTAGCTAATCAAGATTTACATCCCCAACATTTCTCCTATTTGCCCAAAAATTATTTGTTTGTTTGTTTTTGTATGCATATTTGTTTGTTTTTTTTATGCTTCTTTGTTGATATTTATTTCTCTGGGCTAATATACTACCACTTAAAAAGTATATAAAGTCTCTTTGATGTGGATAATTCACAGAATGTTAGAATAATGAAACTACCAAAATAGAATATTAAAAACCAAAATTTACTAAATAAATCAAAAAAGTGCAATGATCATTTTTATTTTGTGTTCGTTTTGAAATTATAAATTTATTATTTATTTGTTTTTTTGCAGGGGAAAAAAATTATACCAATATCAACAACATTTAGTTGTGTGTGTTTGATCAGCAATCAGCCAATTCATCATTTTATACAAAACACTTCATTCCAATCAAAGAATTACTTGTACCATATTCTAGAAGAACCGTTTATAATACTATCAATATCGTCATCCTTCTTCACCAACCTCATTAACATCATCTTCTTTAACAACTTCAGCATTATCCTCTTTCTACTTTTTTTGTTAAAAATACGTAGACCATAAAATCCATTTGTAATTATTATGAAACTTACAAGCAAGACTAATAATGGGAATATGGATCTAAACTTGATTATGCTTCAAAAGTTGCCCCAATCAATAGAGGGAGGAATGTTAATACAGGAATTAGATTTATTTGGCCCAGTTGATTAAAAAAGTACACGAATCAATCAATTCATCCCAACTATGTTTATCGACAAAAAAAACAAAGAAACGAGTCATCATCATCATCATCATCATCATCATCATCATCACCATCAACAACATCATCAGTTCCAGCCATGATGTCCTATTTCTAATAAATTCATTTGTCGGTCGGTTATCAATTATCAGAGGAACCAGCCATGATGTTTCCTATTCTAATAAACTCACTGGTCAGTCATCAAATATCGGCGGAAGTAAACGGCCAGTCATGATATTTACTATTTCTAATAAATTCATTGGTCAGTTATTAATTATCAGCGGAAATGGACGACCAGTCATGATCACAAATAAAAGTTTCATGTAAAGATATTTTTAAAACTTTAATCTACTTTCCTATTAAAAAATTTAATAATTTTGTGAAATTAATTTTCTTGTTGCTTTAAATCAAACACAAATTAGAAATTCTTGTTTTTTATAATTGTGATTAGCGTTGCTAGCTGACTAGTCATGGCCATGACTAATGATTTTATATTTACCTGCGACCAGATTTCCGCCGTGAGCCATTACAGCCTTAATATTACTGTAGTAGATATAGTCGTGACTAAATTTAACATTCTCAATAATTAACAGATTGTTTCATTACAAAATTTGTAAATATACAATTTTTTATTTATTTTCTTTATATTATGTATATATATATGTGTGTGTATGTTAAACATCAATCTAATTAAAACAAATTGATTTTATTTGCTTCTTTCATATGTTTTAAGTTTGTTGCTTTTAAGAAATGGAACCGTCTGTGGTGTTTTAAATGCGGTACAAGAAACAACTCAGAGAGTTTTGGCTGCAAGAAGGCTAAAAACTTTGAGCGCTGTAGGAAATAGAACAACTGGTAAATTTGTTTATTTATTGTCTTTGATTTTATTTTTTTTTATTTTTTTTTTTATCTAAAGGGAAATTCGTCTTTTCTAATAATAGGAGCAAAATCAATGGAAAGCACATGTTTTCGTGTAATGGCTGCATTTCAAGAAAATGATGCTGATTTGAAATTTGGTATGTTCTACTTGATCGAACGTAAAAAACCAAAATCTGACTGTATACAAAAATCGGCAAAATTAATCGCAACAACTTTTGATGAAAATTTGTTCCCGGTTGAAAACGAAGATGGCGAATTTACTTTCATCGAGGGTCATTCCACCAGAAATTTTCCTGATTATTTATTAGACACAAAAAAAATTGTAAAATTTGATCGTCCTTCGTTATTTAATTCGGATATTGGTGGCGATAGTAATGATAATAATAAAGATACAACAAATCCCCAAAGATCTTGGCCATTAAATGAAGTTTTAGAGAGTGGCACCCATGTTTTGGTTACTCTTAAAAACGATTCTAAAGCAATCCTTTTACCTGTTTATACTTCTTTTGATGGTAAAAATGCAATAACTGCTATCTTGATTTGTGGAATTAATCCACGCCGTGCTCTTGATGAAGAGTATATGGAATTCTTACATGTAATTTTTTTCTTTTGTTAATATTTGCATTCTTATTGATGATATTTTTTAATTAAGCAATTAATTAATTATTATAGCTTGTAGTAAGTCATGTAAGTTTGAGTTTGACTCATGGTAGATCGATAGAAGAAGAACGAAAACAAGCTGAAACTTTAGCAGATTTAAATAGACAAAAAATAATGTTTTTTCAAAATATAAGTCATGAATTACGCAGTATGTCAATATTTATTATATTATTTATTATCCCCGCTAGATTAGAATTATAAATATTAATTTTATATTATTTATATATATATAAAAGCGCCATTGACATTGATGCTTTCACCACTTGATGAAGCGATATCTAGTTGCCCAGATGATTCCCCAATTTTGTCACATTTACAATTAATAAATCGTAATGCTCGCAGATTACTTAAATTAGTTAATATTTTATTACAAGTAAGTTGTTAGTCAATCAATAATATATATTTCTTTAATAATAATAATAATGATGATGTATCGTTATTAACTTTCTGGTAGTTTTCTCGCATTGAAGCTGGAAAATTGGATGCAAGATTTATTGAAACAGAAATAGCGAAATTAACATTGGATTTAGCTTCAAGTTTTGAAAGTATGGCTAAATCACTGAATTTAGATTATATTCTTGATATTCCAGACCAAAAGACTCTTGATAATCAATTAACAAAAAAAGTTTTTATTGATCGTGATATGTATGAAAAAATTGTTTTTAATCTTTGTGAGTAAACTGAAAACATTCCACATATTTGGTATTGATTTTTCATATTTGGAAATTAAAATCAATTATAAAATTAATTGTTTTTATAGGTTCCAATGCTTTTAAACATACCTGGAATGGAAGTGTGACAGTTCGTTTATATCCTGAAAATAATGATGGAAAAGAATTTATTTTATTTGAAGTTGTTGATACAGGTTAATTTTCTACTTTTTTATCATATTTTATTTATTATTATAAAAAAAACCAATTTGAAAAATAAAAATAATAATAAATAAGTGTATATATATAGGAGTGGGTATACCGGAAAGTGATAAACCAAAATTATTTCAAAGGTTTTATCGAGTGGAATCACGCCAATCACGTAGTCACGAAGGAACAGGAATTGGGTTGGCGCTGGTGAAGGAGTTGGTTATAAGACATGGAGGTGATATTTTGGTCGAGTCAAAAGTGGATGTAGGATCAACCTTTAAAGTTTTAATACCTACAGGCTGGGACCACTTGCCACAAAAACAAATTTATTTTAAAAGTGATGAAGAAGAGGAAGATGGCAATGCTTTATTTTTTATAAAAAATGAGAACAATTATGATAATAATTTCAAAAAATTGTTCACGGAAAAAGATTTGTATCTTGAAGAGTCTCATCAATGGATACAAAAACCTCAATCATTTGATAAAAAAGAAAACATCAAATCATATAATAAATTTGATCCGAGTAATTGTCTAGATTCAAATAATAATAATCATATTTTTAATAACAGTATTGATGTAAATATTGATTTAGAAGATAAAGAATTGAGTAACAAGTACAAGTATCTGTTGGCCTTTGATGACGATTCATTGAAACTTTATGAAAAATATAAAGTATTAGTAGTCGATGATAATAATGATATGAGGTAATAAACTATCAAATTATCTTATATTTTACATTTTTATTTTATTAATTTTTTAATCTTTTTATAGAAATTATCTTGCAAGTTTGTTAAGTAAACTATTTGATGTTTACACTGCTTGTGATGGATTTGATGCTCTGAGAACCATGGAAAGTCTTCCTCGATATAATTGGACCACAATTTAGCGAGTAAATAAAAACCTATGTAATTTCAAATATATAAAGAATAGTTTAATTGATTTTGACATTTTTTCACACTTTTTATTTTCTTAGAGTTATATCAACATCTAAAGGTCGATTTAATAATGATATGTTATTATTTTTAAATCGAGAGGGATATCTCGAGGAATGTTATTTTTCATTTACATTTAGTCCGATTTTTGACAAACATGGAACCGTCTGTGGTGTTTTAAATGCGGTACAAGAAACAACTCAGAGAGTTTTGGCTGCAAGAAGGCTAAAAACTTTGAGCGCTGTAGGAAATAGAACAACTGGTAAATTTGTTTATTTATTGTCTTTGATTTTATTTTTTTTTATTTTTTTTTTTATCTAAAGGGAAATTCGTCTTTTCTAATAATAGGAGCAAAATCAATGGAAAGCACATGTTTTCGTGTAATGGCTGCATTTCAAGAAAATGATGCTGATTTGAAATTTGGTATGTTCTACTTGATCGAACGTAAAAAACCAAAATCTGACTGTATACAAAAATCGGCAAAATTAATCGCAACAACTTTTGATGAAAATTTGTTCCCGGTTGAAAACGAAGATGGCGAATTTACTTTCATCGAGGGTCATTCCACCAGAAATTTTCCTGATTATTTATTAGACACAAAAAAAATTGTAAAATTTGATCGTCCTTCGTTATTTAATTCGGATATTGGTGGCGATAGTAATGATAATAATAAAGATACAACAAATCCCCAAAGATCTTGGCCATTAAATGAAGTTTTAGAGAGTGGCACCCATGTTTTGGTTACTCTTAAAAACGATTCTAAAGCAATCCTTTTACCTGTTTATACTTCTTTTGATGGTAAAAATGCAATAACTGCTATCTTGATTTGTGGAATTAATCCACGCCGTGCTCTTGATGAAGAGTATATGGAATTCTTACATGTAATTTTTTTCTTTTGTTAATATTTGCATTCTTATTGATGATATTTTTTAATTAAGCAATTAATTAATTATTATAGCTTGTAGTAAGTCATGTAAGTTTGAGTTTGACTCATGGTAGATCGATAGAAGAAGAACGAAAACAAGCTGAAACTTTAGCAGATTTAAATAGACAAAAAATAATGTTTTTTCAAAATATAAGTCATGAATTACGCAGTATGTCAATATTTATTATATTATTTATTATCCCCGCTAGATTAGAATTATAAATATTAATTTTATATTATTTATATATATATAAAAGCGCCATTGACATTGATGCTTTCACCACTTGATGAAGCGATATCTAGTTGCCCAGATGATTCCCCAATTTTGTCACATTTACAATTAATAAATCGTAATGCTCGCAGATTACTTAAATTAGTTAATATTTTATTACAAGTAAGTTGTTAGTCAATCAATAATATATATTTCTTTAATAATAATAATAATGATGATGTATCGTTATTAACTTTCTGGTAGTTTTCTCGCATTGAAGCTGGAAAATTGGATGCAAGATTTATTGAAACAGAAATAGCGAAATTAACATTGGATTTAGCTTCAAGTTTTGAAAGTATGGCTAAATCACTGAATTTAGATTATATTCTTGATATTCCAGACCAAAAGACTCTTGATAATCAATTAACAAAAAAAGTTTTTATTGATCGTGATATGTATGAAAAAATTGTTTTTAATCTTTGTGAGTAAACTGAAAACATTCCACATATTTGGTATTGATTTTTCATATTTGGAAATTAAAATCAATTATAAAATTAATTGTTTTTATAGGTTCCAATGCTTTTAAACATACCTGGAATGGAAGTGTGACAGTTCGTTTATATCCTGAAAATAATGATGGAAAAGAATTTATTTTATTTGAAGTTGTTGATACAGGTTAATTTTCTACTTTTTTATCATATTTTATTTATTATTATAAAAAAAACCAATTTGAAAAATAAAAATAATAATAAATAAGTGTATATATATAGGAGTGGGTATACCGGAAAGTGATAAACCAAAATTATTTCAAAGGTTTTATCGAGTGGAATCACGCCAATCACGTAGTCACGAAGGAACAGGAATTGGGTTGGCGCTGGTGAAGGAGTTGGTTATAAGACATGGAGGTGATATTTTGGTCGAGTCAAAAGTGGATGTAGGATCAACCTTTAAAGTTTTAATACCTACAGGCTGGGACCACTTGCCACAAAAACAAATTTATTTTAAAAGTGATGAAGAAGAGGAAGATGGCAATGCTTTATTTTTTATAAAAAATGAGAACAATTATGATAATAATTTCAAAAAATTGTTCACGGAAAAAGATTTGTATCTTGAAGAGTCTCATCAATGGATACAAAAACCTCAATCATTTGATAAAAAAGAAAACATCAAATCATATAATAAATTTGATCCGAGTAATTGTCTAGATTCAAATAATAATAATCATATTTTTAATAACAGTATTGATGTAAATATTGATTTAGAAGATAAAGAATTGAGTAACAAGTACAAGTATCTGTTGGCCTTTGATGACGATTCATTGAAACTTTATGAAAAATATAAAGTATTAGTAGTCGATGATAATAATGATATGAGGTAATAAACTATCAAATTATCTTATATTTTACATTTTTATTTTATTAATTTTTTAATCTTTTTATAGAAATTATCTTGCAAGTTTGTTAAGTAAACTATTTGATGTTTACACTGCTTGTGATGGATTTGATGCTCTGAGAACCATGGAAAGTCTTCCTAGATTGCCTGATTTGGTTTTAAGCGGTCGGTAGATGAAATTTTTAATTATAATTATTTGTTTTGTTGTTTGTGTTGTCTAATAACAAACAATGTTATATCGTTTAAAAGATATTATGATGCCAAATATGAACGGGTATGAATTATTACAAACTTTAAGATCTAATATAACAACCCAATCGATTCCTATTATTCTATTATCTGCCAAAGCGGGTGAAGATGCTAGTATTGAAGGTATATTTTTCTTACACAAATATGTACATATATAAATACATACATCCGTATATTTAGCAAAATTTTTTGTAAATTTATCAGGATTGGAAAAAGGAGCCGATGATTATTTAACAAAACCATTTAGTGCAAGGGAGCTGGTTGCACGTGTAAAAGTTAACATTCAACTTTCATTTCTTCGTCAACAACTTATCCTTCAACAACGTAGACAAATTGAAACAAAGCAATTATTGTTCTCCATTAGTAGTAAAATCCGTGCTAATATTAGCATAAAAGAAACTTTGACAACTGCAATTGAAGAAATCCACAGGGTTTTACCTTGTGATAGAATATATGTAGTATCAGCCGAAAATCAAAAATATGACAATTCCATTATCACCGCTTATGCTGCTACTAACCCAAATGAAAAAAATCTGACTGGTCACATAGTTCGATACGTTGTAGAAGAGGAATTAAATAAATTGCTAAAATTGAATGAAACAGATCCAACTCCCGAAATTGAGGCTGCATTGAAATCCTTGAAGAGCATTGAAGAATTTATGAAAACAAAAAATGATAATAATTCGGATTTGGAGGCTACTGTATTCAAGGATTATTATTCTGCGATAGTGGATTTCAATGTTTCAATTATAAATGTGCCAATAAGGGTAAAGAATTATATCTGGGGATGGTTAATAGCCAATAAAGCGTCAAATTCTAATTGGAGTAATTCAGAAAGATTATTTCTACAACAAATTACTAATCAAATAGGTTTGGCAATAATCCATGCTGAATTGTTAGAAGAAAAATTGAAACGTGAGGCACAAATGGAAGCTGCAAAAGCTGCCAATGAAGCTAAAAGCCAAATTTTAGCAAATACTTCTCATGGTAATGATTTATTAGTTTTTTTTTTAATTTAAAATTATGGATTTGTATTTAATTAATATATAAATCATGTGTGTGCGCATGTGTAGAGCTACGTACACCTTTGGGAGCAATTATAGGAGTTTTATCAGCATTTGATGATACAAAATTGACTGAAGATCAAAAAGACATGATTCAAATAATGACAAGAGCATCAGATGTTGTATTGTCGGTGGTTAATGATATACTTGATGCAGCTAAATTAGAGGCTCAAAAGGTGACCTTGATGAATCGTACTTTTGATCTATTTGATTTGATTCAGAAAACTATTGAAATATTCGGCGAAAGAGCAGGAAATAAGAAAATTGAATTAATCTTGAGTTGTGATCCCGCTTCTTTACCAAAATATGTTAAATCAGATCCAGAAAGGTAATTTATAACAATATGCATTTATATATATTTATATATTAATATTAATATAAATATATATATAATTTTTAATTACTAGACTTCAACAAATTTTAATGAATTTATTATCTAATTCGTAAGTGTTTGTTCGATATTGTTTATATACATAAATGTATTAATTTACAAATTTATTTATTTATTGTTTATGAAAAAATTCAAGAATCATATTTACTGAACATGGTGAAGTAGTTTTAAGTGTTTCTATTACAACTTCTGAAAAAAATAGTGAAGAAACTAGTGAAAATAACGACTCTACTAATAATAAAAAAGGCATTTTACTTGTTGAAATAAAAGATACAGGGATTGGGTAAATAAATAATGAGTAATATATTTTAATTTTTTTAAAAGATTTATTAATTCTATCTTTATATAGTATTGAATCATCATTTATGAAAGATATTTGGGAAAGTTTTTCTCAGGGTGATCCATCATTAACGAGAAGACAAGATGGTACAGGATTAGGATTATCAATATGTAAACATTTGGTAACAATAAATGGTGGAACATTGAATGTACAAAGTGAATTGGGTAAAGGAAGTAAATTTTGGTTTACATGGAATGTTGAAACATTATCATTATCAGCAATACCTGTCACTCCAATTATCACTACTACTACTACTAACAATAGCAATCTGATCAATAGTAATGATAATATGGCCAGTTTTGTACCACAACCAACTGTTAGATTAAAACGTGTACTGATCGTGGATCCAGTTGAAAATTCACGTATTTCATTGGTGAAATTGATTAGTGAAAGCGTTGAAAGAATAGATGCATTTGAATGTAGTCAGAAAGGTACTATTGCTGTGAAAGAGTGGCAAGAAAAAAATAAAGATCTGTTATACGATATAGTATTTTTCAATGTTAGAGATGAAAATATTGAAGAGGTCAAACAGTCTTCTAGAGAGTTGCGGAGAGTCTGTGGTGACAATTTATGTATAATACTGATGGTGTTTTGGTCTGTTAATGGTAGGTTATTGGGTCAGAAGATGGTCAAAGAAATAAGAGGTCATGTTGCTGCTTTGTGTAAGCCTATTATGCAAAAAAGATTGTTGGACTGTCTACATAACACTGAAATATTCAAATCAAAATCCCCTTCACCTCCATACACAAATAATAATGATGACATTAATAATGGTGATTATGATTGTCACAATAATCATTATCACTATCATAGTATTAGAAATTTCAACCCAATGAAACCTTTGAGTGATCTGAAAGTTGAAAAATATTATCATCATAACAGACCAACCAAAACCATTACTTCTGGTATAGAAGCTGATTCAACATCAATAATAACAAATTATGATAATGATGCAATGCTAATTGATAAAAAATCTAATTTTGACGATTTTGAAAAATCAGGCAATAACCCAGAGTTTAATTGTAGTATGAAATCCGAAAAATTTAATTCAAAATTAAAGCGTTCAGTTGACAGCGAATCCATCTATTCGTTAAATAATGAACGTTCATCAAAATCAAGAAATAGACCTACTTCAAAATCCAAATGTGTTTTATGTGTGGTATGTTTAAATTTCCTTGTTTAAAAAAAAAAATTTTTTTTGATGCTGATATGACAATCAATTAATTGAAAAATATGTCCATGAAATTACAGGAAGATAACCCTATCAATCTAAAGGTATATGTGTAAATATACATAACAGTGTTAATGATATTTCTTAAATGCCACACATATTTATTGTATTTATATATATACAGGTTATTCAACATCAACTAACAAAATTAGGATATCAATCTTTATCAGCAACAAATGGCCAAGAAGCAGTTAATTTAATGAAATCAGAATGCATGGATTCACCTGATGATAACATATATGATGGGGAATCAGCTGGGCTTTCATCTGATTCTGATTCTAATTATAACAAAATATCATTGATTTTAATGGATTGTGCAATGGTAATTAACTGTTTTTATTTTGGAAGAAATATTAGAAATTATATAAATATTAATTAACCAATTAATTATATATGTATGTATATTAAATAGCCTGTTATGTCTGGGTTTGATGCATCAAAAGCTATTAGAGCAATGGAACCACCAATATCACAAATACCAATTATAGCATTAACAGCATCAGCAGTACAAGGCACAAGAGATAGATGTCTTGAAGCTGGCATGAATGATTATCTTACTAAACCATTGAAAATTGGACAACTTAAAGAAATGTTGACTCAATGGCTTGGGGAAGATTAATTATGATCATTTATATCTACATATTATATTTTAAATTTATGTATTTATGTATAATTTGTAAATTATTTTTAATGTGTGAATATGATTTTTTCATTTTAGAATATATACTACACTGATTTTAATAATCCTTTATATGCTATGCAACTTCTTCCTGAATCTTTTCTAACAAAAAAAATTCTCACATTTCTAAGATTTTATTAAGGTTGATTTTTATTGTTTTTTAATTCAATATGCAAATAATTATATATATACATATGGTTAACACGAAATTAATTGTCAACACATGGAATTATAAATCTTTTTGCCAATAAATATCTTGTTAATTGTCATAACCATGTATCCAGAAATTTCACAAAACTTATTAAATTTTGTCTTCATAATATACCTGAAATTCATAATAAAATGAAAACAATAATTTGATATACAATCCACTGGTGTCCAAATGTGGTAATCTTATCTCAATATTGATAAATAATGTTAGTGAATATAATTAGTCTAACAAGATTTTAGCAGAGGATGCGCAGTGAGCTTTTTTGAACTTTATTAGTAATATTTGTGTAATACAAAAAAAAATCTGAGATTCTCATATTTAATATATATATTAATTAATTAATTGGCCAAGACCTCTTTGGTTTACATTTTTCAATCTTGCATACTCCTGAATTACAGATTGATCAGTTTTTATATTAGAAAAGTCAAAATCTAAGATTCTAAGTGAATCCCAAGAAGGCACTCTGCTCATGGCTACATATACTTGACCAGGTGCGAACATATTTTCATCAATGCTGACAGTTGCATGAGGTAATGTTAATCCCTGGGTTTTGTGCACAGTAAGAGCAAAGGCATTTTGCACAGGAAATTGTTGTCTTGATGCAGGGCTTCTGTTGATATCAAAGTAATATTTAGTGTATAACAATCAATTTGATTGTTGATTAAATTAAATGCTAATTAAAAATTGTCAAAATTAAATTTCTTTCTTTACGTTAAAGGTAATTTGTTAAAGGTAGTTTGTAGTGTTTTTTCTCATATTAATTTATATTAAAATGGTATAGAAAATTTAAATTTAAGTTTTTAAGGACCAATCAGATTTCATTATTTATGAAAAAGTCAAAATCTGATTGGTTGAAATGAATTATAGCGTTAACACTAACTAAATAAGAAGTAATAACATTATATTTTTTATTACAATATGTTTATTTAGAAAGAGTTAGATCATAGCAAGTATGATTATTTTGAGTGCAATAAGTCATATCCAAGTTAGATAATGCTCACATGAAATTGTGTTTAATTTTTTTGGTGTGATAAAGTTAAAACTTTAATTTAGTAAGCAATTGATTGGTTCAGGTTGTTAATTCAAATTTTTTAGCGAAGCAATAAAAACACATTTTAATTCTCAAATGAATTGGACTTTTTTTATTAAAATTAAAATTCATGAATAATTCAGAATAATTTCCTTCCGTATATGTAAATAATTATTTGCGTAACAAATCTAATCACTAATTAAATAAAAATAAAAAAATAAAAAGAACGTTAAATTCTATGTTGGTGTTACGAAAAAATATGAGGACGGCCATCCCATTTATATGTTTCAAATTTAATGAAATTGACTATTGTTTTGACCTAAGTGATATGATTTTTTTACTCTTTATGATAAAGAAGGTGCAATCCAAATCAAACTTAACTTTAATAGATTTTGGTTCTTGAGTAGCGCAGCATGTACAATAATAATAATAAAAAAGAAAAAAGCTCCACGTTGCGTTTTCAGTTGTAAACTTGTTAATTAAAAACATATTAGTTAATAGTGATCTTTATCACATTAACTAAAACCAAATCTCTTTCTGTTCACTTGGAAAAAAAGATTTTATTATTTTGCATGATAAATGGTAAAAAACGTTTATCACGTGGACAAGGCATTAAATTTCAATTCATCAAGTGTATCGCTATCGATTTCAGAAAAATAAAAAATATATTTTTTGAAATTTACTACTCAACAAAAACAAAAAATTCCTTCCCAAAAAATTAAGTTTGAAAAACAGTGATTTTTCACTAGCTGCTCATAGCGCTCACTTCCTTGCTGAGCTCTGCAGAGAGAAAGAAGAAATTGCTATTTTTTTAACATATATAAAAGAAGAAAGGTTGCCGTGTTACGGTGTCTTACTAATACTAAATGTTGCAAATTTTCGTGTAGATTTTTTATATTTTATGTAATATTTCCCCTTTTTTGTATGTTTCCCTAATCTAACGACTTTACCCAATTTTGAAATGTTTGGTTGCACGGGAAATGTTTCGTTGTAAAGAAGTTACAGTTACAGTTACTGTAACTGAAACTGTTACCGTAACTGTAACTGTAACTGAAACTGTTACCGTAACTGTAACTGTAACTTCTAAACGTTCTGTTTCTTAACTTTATTAAACTGAATTTTTGAGGAAGGAAGAGATCAAAATCAAAGGGTAAAACTTTGTGATGAGTCGTTTTTTTTTTGCTGCGCTGGCTTGAAATGATTTGCAAAATGATTTGAAATTTGTTAATAATTAATGAAATTGAAATTTGAACAAAATATTTTCGTTTCCCAAAAAAATGATAAATGGTTGTGGTTATTTTTACGTCACCGTATTGTGCGAAACCCAATTGCTATCTGTTTATCATGATTTGTGAATTGAAAAACTTATCTGTTTTGGTTCAAAACGTCAGGTTTGAGCGAAACAGATACTTGACTGAAAGGAAATCGTGTTTCGCTTTAGATGTTTTTGCGTGGTGTTGACCGCTGTCCATCGTTAGGTCTTCGTCTTGCTCAGACGTTTGGACCGTTCAAAATGACCAAAAACTGATGGCCTTTGTCTTGGAACCTTTACCTCGGATCGTCAAAGGCTCGTCACACAACATGTTTGTGATATTTTCTGGTCACGAGACCAAGGTTCAAAAACGTTTTATTTCGTTAATTTAAAATGATCGATAAACAAACAAATGTGCAAATTTTTTTGATTGTTCATACTGAATGAAATTTTTTATTTTTGGATTTTGACTGTTTGAGAGATAGTGGGTGATCTGGATAAGAAAAAATTTTAATTTCCTTTCAATCTTTTTTGATTTTGACCATTTGAAAGATGGTGGGTGATCTAATTTCCTTTTGGAGAAAACAATAAAATCGTTTCGTTTTGTCAATTTAAAAAAAAATGATCGATAAACAAAACAATATGTGCAAAATTTTTTTGATTGTTTGTGTTGAATTAAATTTTTTTTTGGATTTTGACCATTTGAGGATAGTGGGTGATCTGGATAAGAAAAAACTTTGATTTTGACCATTTGAAGGATAGTGGATGATGATCTGATTTCCTTTTGGAGAAAACAATAAAATCGTTCCTTTCGGGAAAAACAAATAAAATACGTCGATTGATTAAGAAAAAAAAAAGCTTGGTTGATTTTTCTTAAAACAATCGAAATTTGTAAATGACTTTTGATGTTTGCATGAAGCTTATTCTTCTATAGCGATAGATGAAAAAAAACACGAGGAAAAGATCAGGACAAAAAATTTTAATAATCGAAATTCGCAAATGGCTTTTGATTCACACGGGTTCTTCTTTGCGAAGGATCTTTTTTTCTTTTAATTAAGAAAAAAAA